CGATAGCCGTACTATATAGTTACTATAAATGAGAATGAATGGTTAGAGCGGCAGAACGTCTGTTTCTTATTACTAAAACATTTGATATTATAACCGAGCTATGGTTGACACAAGCTAGACTTTTACCAGAGGCAGCATTGAGATTCGGTTGAGATAACCGAAAACAATTGCCTGAGTAGCGGAAACCTTTCATAGGAATTTTTCTGTTCTTACAACCGAGTTTTCATCTGGTCTCCAGAAAACAGAAAATTTCGGTTGTTGTAACCGAAATTCAATTATACGAACCGAATCTTTTTTTCCGTGTAGAAATTATATCGTCTGATATTTGCTGGGGTATTGGCTACTGTAGTAAAGAATTAACATGACGCTGTAATCATGTGATTTAGACTATTTAGCTAATAATTGCATTCAGTACAAAAAAAATGATTAGTGAGCTGTTTAGTAATTCTTTTTTAATATGATTAATTCCTACACTTATGATTAGATCCAGCGAAGAACTAAAGCCAATCATGTTAAAGAATCAGCTTTTTTTGCTGAACGCAATTAATCAGTATTGGGGTATCTACTTATAAAGAACTAACATGGCGGCGACAATTTAATCGATTTAATGCCGAATGTCTGGTTTTCTAGAACTTTAGTTAGTGGTTACACCAATTGCACGCAGGTAATCTAAGAATGAAATTAGCGAAATTGCTTCGTTATTTGATGGTTTTCTAGATTCAATCGTAATTTTTTATTTGAATAGAAGGAACTGATTGGCGAATATTGTAAAATCGTCATATTATTTATTGTATTACGATTCTGTCATGCACGAGAGATAATTATTAGTATGATTTTTGCAAATTTTGAGTCTACGTACTGTTCTTTATATTTACCACTGTATACTGTGGTATATGTATCAGAGTATAGGTTAGGTTGCTGTAATAGTGTAAACTAGGCTGTTGAGTGAAAAATTGTAATATTGATGTATAATGTCATTGTCAGTTGGTATTTACCAGGAAGAGACTACGATTATTTCGCAAATGGACGTCATTTTCATTCCTAAATTGCTTCTTTTGCGCATTGTTCTTAAGAACTTGGCGTAGGTAAATACACAAATGTCTACGATTAGCACGTTCCGTGATGCGATTTTTGTTTTCGGATGTTGAAGATAACTCGCATTATCCACATTAGTACGTGCTCGCTTGTTCAGCCACGCGCATCACGGAAGAGACGAAAACGACGCGACATTGCACACAGACAAAGCTCTTTGTATTAGTGAGAGTTGCGTCTCCAGAAGGGATCGCGATTCGCATTCACCCCCTCGGGCAAACGGCAACCAACGACATCGCATATCCACCCCTCGATGATGTTCTCTGTTTCTGCCAGCCGGTGTCTTCCTAAGCTACCCCTTTCATTTTGCCTTATGCTTACAAGACGCGTGGTTGGGATGCGCGGAGGA